TTGCCAAAGCAATGGCGTGAAACACAGCGTTTAAGAACTTGTATGCTATAAGCGGGCCGCCACAGTCTAGTTAATGAATGGGAAACACTGAATTGATCAAAACTCTACAATATATGAAAAATGTGATTATAACACAAGCAACAACAAATAGGCAAAAAAAAATTAATGAGAGGAAAATTTCAAATGGTAACCATATGCTAAAATGTTTTCTGTCTATGTTCTCGAAACAAAAACATTACATGAACTTTAAATGAACTTCAATTGTGTCCATATGGTAAAGCTTTATATTCTGCATCTACAATCGTCTCCTCTTATATTTTCTTCACTCCACCGATTGAACTTCATGCCTATTCTCTCCTTAATTTCTTCCATCTCTGACTTGAATTTCCTGACTGCAGTCTCATTTCGGTTCTCTAAAAAAGTAAATTGTCTAATATAAAATAACCAGTGAATGTCAATTATTATTTTTAAAGTATGCTAAAGTGTACTTCTTTTTCCACAAGGGAATAAAAAAATCAAAAAAAGGAAAGATAATTTCTTAGTAAAAGTTGTGAAAAAAGTGAACTTCAATCTGTACACTGTTTGCAGAAGCACACTCTCAAAAAAAGGTACTAAAGCGGTCACTGGGGCGGTGCCTTACACTTTTGTACCTCATTAGGATTGGACTAAAGGATGCATATTTGTACCTTTAAATGAATGTACATATTATTCCCTCAAGTAAATATTAGTACTTAAATATGTAAAGCAAGAATATGTATAACGTAGAAATGGAGTCAAAAAGATGTATTTAATATGATAATAGCACCACCGTGTGGTTATTTTTCTACTGAATTATAGTTGACTAAAGCTTTGCTCATCTTGGTGTCACACGATCTCCACTCATAATAATAAAAGCATCATATCGTTTTTTTTTACTATAAAAATGTAATTACAGTTTACTAGCCTACATATCCTTCGTCGTGAAAATAACAGTGGGCTAAACTCGAGTTATCATTACTATTTTAAAACAATAGTTGTAGGTCTAGTAGTAATGTACTACTACTGTTTCACAGTACTAAGACATTTTAACAGGCTAAATAATAATTAGCAGGAAAAAAAACAGCTTGCAAAATATGCATTTTTTTTTTATTTGACTAGGGTCTATCATGTTGTGTTAGATTTAAACGTGATCAGACATAAACATTTCCACACGTCTGTGCGTGCTTTCTACCACACTGATTTGTATGTCACTGAAACATTTACATGTTTTCACTAAGGAAATTAGTATGGACTTAATGCAAATGATGTGAAGGTTTTTAAACAGCCGTAAAATTGCCTCGAGGCACGATTGTCACGATCGTGTCTCGTTTAAAACAAGCTATAACTTTTCTTCCACCAATGTTCTTAAAATAACGTTAGTCATGCAACAAACCGATAGTTTTACCTTCCATTAACTTCTACCATCTGGCAATGGAAAAGCCTTTGCTCTGCGCCACGGCTTTTTGCGTACACGCATCATCTTTCTATTGGACAACACAGCTGTCATTCAACGCGTCATGCCCATCAAGTTCCCGCGCTGTAGTGGTTTCAAGATCGGTTGACGTGCGTATTTGACCTAATTGGCATTCGGCCAAGAGAAAGAGCGACACATGTGGGCCAAAGATTAGGAACGTTTGTATAACATAAAATTCACACCGAAACACAACCATTAAAATATAGCAGGGTATGGTCTGTTTGAAGTTACTGAAACTTTAAAACCGCCACGGAAAGAGTGAAATTCGACCACTTCAAACAGGAAAGCTAAAAGTGATACATTTCGTGTATACATTTTACAATTTGAAATATGCGCTTCGTTTCTTCTTACGTGTTTTAACTCGTCTTCACTTTAAGAGTCTCGTGGATTATTGGTAGATAATAACGGGAATGAATTTTCAAATCTAAGCGTCTGCATGTTTTTCCGGCTTTCCCAGGTTTTGTTTGTTTTGTGAACATGAAATGCTTTTATGCATTCTATGAACATTTTAGGATTTAGGATTTTTCAAATGTACGCTTTAATGTTTTTCTTAATTTCTATAAAGTTATACAGGTATACACTTCGATATAAGCGAGTCGTTTTGGTCACTCTCCATGATCTGCTATTTTTAATTCCCTTGAAGCTGGTAACTTTTCTGTTTCTTTTTTTTTTTTTATGAACTGTATTCTATACAGTAACAAGCCATTTAAGTAAAACAGCTCTTAAAGATGCTCACATGCAAAGTATGAGCCAGGTCAACCGCCATTAAATCGTAAAAGAAGAAGAAGTAGCAGCCAGGTCTTTCTGCGTGTTGCCAGATTGTGTGGGATCCTGGTCTAGCCGGACTGCGCTTGCGCGTGGGAAGCCTGGGGTAGGCCCTGCTGTTTTTCTAACTCTAGTTCAATCCTACACTGCCGTCTCAACCAAAACAAGGCGCAAGAAAATCCCCCTCCTGGACGGCAAATAACCGAGGTAAGAAAGCAAGCGGGCTGGCTAGATAGCATTATTTAAGACAGAGCAGCGGAGCTCCAGTGTCGCATTT